GTTTGAGTTCTGACTTATGCTTGCATTGCAGAGTGTAAGCTGGGTAAACGCTCTAGTGCAGGAGTACGCGGAGAGCGTGAGAGATTGTGCTAGCTTGTAGAGGCAGTGTGAGGAGTTGCAGAAGGAGAAAGAGGAGCTGCAGAAGGAGAAAGAGGAGCTGTAGAAGGAGAAGAAGGAGATGCAGAGGAAGCTGGATGAAGTTCTTCAATCAGTAATCGAACTCCAGAACGATAATGATGTCTTGAGCACGAGACTCATCCTCGAAGAATGTAAGAGAAAGATCTGTGAAGACAAGCTCGAGGTCAAGACAAATACATTGAGAACATAAAGAAAGGAGCGACGGAGCTAAAGAAGAACGTGAATCTGCTGGTTCACAACGGAATGGAAGAGCACATTGGCAACTTCCTCAACTCCAGCATCTTTGAGAACATCATCAACCTCTACCGGCTGCCGACCGCAATTGTGGCCTTCACCGACTGTAGAAAGAAGGTGAAGGCTCAGTACCCGGAGGTGGACGTTACGACGGTCACCTTTGGTAAAGAAGAAGAAGGAGTGGAGGAGGATGGTGAGAGCCTCTCTGCTAACTTATGGCCTCTGATCAAGCTGAGGTGGGAGCGTGACGTAGAGGGGCGTACTATCTTTCCTCCAGCCTTTGATGTTGAGTTGGTGGCTGTAGAGGAAGAGGAAGAAGTGCCAAATACTGGAGTGGAGAACCAAGCAATCCCGGCCGAAGTCCAGTCTCCTCTGGCGAAGTGCAGTAGATAGCTCTTCCTGAAGCAGAAGTGCCGCCTCTGCCTACTGGGGATGAGCCGCCTCAACCACCTTTTCATGCTGAGGAACAGCCTCCTCCTCTAGTAGAGTAGCTTAGGTTTTTATATCTTTTAGTTATATTTGTAAATAACATTTTTGTAATTAATATTAATTTATAAAAATTTTGAAGTTATTATTGGTGTTTAGTGTTGGTTTTTGATTGCTGTTTCATTTTGAGTAAATCACTTTGGATAAAATAAAGTAACTTTAATTAACACAAGGATCTGACCTCGGACACAATAAAATGAACCGCAAGGGAATTTACTTCGGATATACATGAGGCGGACCTCAACTATACAAATGAGAAAAGATAAAAGTAAATCACTTCAAAAGTAAAGTGTAATTGATTAATAAAATCGTAACCCAAGAAATGAAGTGGCTGAATAAGTCACAATGAATTAACTTCAGAAGTAAGTGAAATCCATTTCCAACGTACAGAAGTGTAGAAAGGATTGAACCACTTCGAAATGTGAAGTGAAATTCATTAATGAGGTAAATGAATTGAGCTCGTATGTTCATTGAGTAGAAAGAGGGAATAATAACAATTATAAAAATAAGACAAAGTTCACTGGGAAGAAGTGTATTAAGGGTAGAATTTCTTCAAATTATTGACATTCTAGACTCTAGAAACCCTTTTGCCTTCATTGTCCCGTAGGATATAAGCACCTGGGTGTGGCACTTCGGCTACAGTGTAGGGGCCTTCCAGTTTGGTGCTAACTTTCCGAATCGAGTTTCGAACCCCGTTAGACCAGCTTTCCTAAGAACAAGGTCTCCTACTTTAAATGTCCGAGGTCGAACTTGTTTGTTGTAGAAGTTGGCTATTTTCTGCTTGTAAACTAGAGTCCGAAGTCATGCCTCCTCTCTGACTTCGTTAAGCAGATCAAGGTTCTCTCGAAGCAGTTGTCCATTTCGATACGAATGACTGCTTCGGTACCAAAGGCCAAGTGGTAAGGTGTTTCACCTATTTCAGTTAATTATAAGTTTAGAATGCGCTTTACGCGTTATGCACATTTGATTTAAGGTAAAGCCGTAGAAGCAGAAGTAAAATAATATAAAAGTTAATCAAATAAGCCACGTTCGAAGTAGTACCTGTGGCAGTTCTGCTCGTGGTTCTGTATGCCCAAAGGACGTTGTTGAGCTCATCTACCCACCTAGCCTTGTGCAGCTCTAACTGTGGTTTTATCCCCTCGAGTATAACCTTGTTGACAGATTCTACCATCCCATTAGATTCCGGGTGGTATACCGAGATGAACTGCAATTTGATCCCATAACTAGAGTAGAAATCTCTAAATGAGGAGCAGTTGAACTGAGTTCCATTGTCAGCCACAATCTCATTCGGGATCCCATATCTGCAGATGATTGAGCTGAAAACAAAGTTTTCGACCCTTTTGGAGGTAAGACATGATAATAGCCGAGCTTCAACCCATTTCATAAAATAATCCACACCGACAATCAGATGAGTTACACCTCCTACCCCCTTTATAAATGGACCTAAAAGGTCAAGTCCCCATTGAGCAAACGGCCAAGGTGCTAGCAGAGTAGTGAGCTCTTCTGCTGGCTGGTGAATTAGATGTGCGAAGAACTGACATCTCTGACACCTCTGTACAAACTGAGTGGCATCTTTATACATGTTGGGCCAGTAATATCCTTGTCTAAGGACTTTATGGGCTAGAGTTCGAGCACCAATGTGACTTTCACAGACACCTTTATGCACCTCTCAAAGTACGTATTTAACCTCATAAGGGTTCAAGTAGCAAAGTAGGGGGAGTGAAAAAGATCTCTTGTAGAGGACTTCATTAACAAGGGTGTACCGAGATGCTTTCTTCCTCAACCTCATTTCTTCTTGTTTATCTGCAGGCACTATGCCATCCCGTAAAAATGAGATAATTGGATCTGTCCAGCTCGGTGTGCTGGGATCTATGCTGATCTCCATCATTTTTGGCTTTAAGAAGCTAGGCTCGTCCAGAATTTCAACAAAGATCGTTCTGGTGCTTTGATTGCCATCAGAAGCAAATTTGGAGAGGGAATCTGCTTGCTCATTTTCAGCTCGGGGTATCTTGCTCAAATGGAATTTTTGGAATTTGGATTTCAGCTCAGCTACCAGAGTTGCATACTTCACCATAACAGGATCAACCACTTCACAGACTGAGTTGACCTGATTGACTACTAGCTATGAATCACTGTATATTTGTATCACTGCAACCTTCAGTTCTGTTGCCAACTGTAAGCCAAGTAGCAGAGCTTCATACTCAGCCATATTGTTGGTGGCATCAAAATTAAATTTCAGAGTATGTTCACTTCGGTACCCATCTAGGCTAAGTAGGATTGCACCAACGCCAGAACCTTTGTTACTCGATGCTCCATCAACATATAGTATCCAGCTGTCCAGCTCGGACTGGGAACCAGAATGAGCCGAGGTGCATTCTACTATGAAATCTACGAGAGCATGAGCTCGGATTGCCGACCTCTGCTGAAATGTGATCTCAAATTCTCCCAGTTCAACCGCCCATTTGATCAGTCTTCCTAAGCATTCTGGCTTCTGTAAAATTTGTCCGAGGGGCTGGTCCGTGAGGACTATGATTTGGTGCGATTGGAAATACAGTCTCAGTTTCCTGGCCAAAGTGACAATTGCTAAGGCTACTTTCTCAGCGATAGAATATCTGATTTCAGCTCCATGTAACACACTGCTAGTGTAATAAACTGGCTTCTGTTGTTTCCCCTCTTCTCTCACTAGCACGGAACTGATGGCTTCATCTGATATGCCGAGGTACAAGTAAAGGATTTCCCCATCATTAGCCTTTGTCAACAAAGGAGGTGAGCTAAGATAAGACTTCAGCTCGTCAAAAGCAGCTTGGCATTCTGAATTCCATTCAAACTTCTTTTCTTTGCTAGATTCATCTTTCTGGGCTGCCAATCTCATGATCTTGAAGAACGGCAGGCATTTATCTACTGATTTTGAGATGAACCTATGAAGAGCTGCCACTCTCCCTGTCAACCTCTGTACATCTTTCATTGACTTTGGTGGTTCCATTTCGGCCACTGCTTTGATCTTCTCGGGGTTAACCTCAATTCCCCTTCTGGACACCATGAAGCCTAAAAATTTTCCAAACTCCACACCGAAGATGCATTTTGCTGGATTCAACCTCATCCTGTTCTTTCTGAGATTGTTGAATGTCTCCTCGAGGTCAGTTAGGTGATCTTCGGCTTTCAAACTCTTTACCACTATATCATCAACATAAACTTCCAGATTCCAGCTTATTTGAGCTCGAAATACGATGGTAACCATCTTCTCGTAAGTGGCACCTGCATTCTTCAAACCGAAGGGCATCATCACATAACAATAGATTTCATCGCCGGCATAGAACGATGCTTTTTCTTCATCCTCAGGAGCCATCGGAACCTGATGGTAGCCAGAGTATGCATCCAAGAGGCTTAATCTCTCGTTTCCAGAAGCTGCCTTAACTAGCTTATCAATGTTTGGCATTGGGTAACAGTCTTTTGGACATGCCTGGTTGAGGTTAGTGTAATCGATGCACATCCGCCATTTACCATTTGCTTTTTTCACCAACACAGGATTGGCGATCCATTCACTGTAATCAACCCGTCTGACGAAGCTAGCTTGTGTCACAACTCAAATTTTTATCAAAAAAACAAAAAAATCAAAAATATAAAAATATCAAGATTTCCCTTTTCTTTGACTAATATATCTTTATTTTGTTTCAGGTGTTACATGCAAAAAGAAATTGGAAAATTCAAGAAGAAGAAAGAAGGGACTCAATTGAAGAAATTAAAAGTTGGATGGGTGAAGTTCATCAAAATGAATTTACAAACTAAAACCCAAAGCCCACCAAAATCCAGAACCCAAAATCTAAAAAATCCACAATTATTCAAAACCCAAAGCCCACCAGATTCCTCAAACCCAAAATCCAAATGTCCCCAATTATCCAAACCCAAAAACCCAAACCCAAAACCCGTCTAGCCCAAACCCAAAAACAAAAAAAAAAAAACAAAGAAGGTGTCTGGAACCTTCTCTTTCCCCGTCATTTTTGTTTTTTTTTCCGAACCAGCTCAAGCCCTGCCCAGCCTTTCCTCGCACCAAGCCCTGCGCCCCTAAGCCTGCGCCCCTACGCCTCTACCCCTGCACCTGCCCTGCACCAAATCCTGGCCTTGCTCTGCACCGAGCCTGCGCCCCTGCTGCACCGAGCCTGCGCCTGGATCACGCCCAGATTTCCTTGCTATGCGCCCCCTGCTGCGTTGACCCTGCTGCTGCGCCTTTGTCCTTGCAGCCAACCGAGCATGAGACAAACCTGCAGGATGACATCACGCTCCAGCTTTGTTGGCTGCCCTGCAGGGCCAGTTTTGGCCTCACCCGATCAACGGTGGAAGGAAAAAGAAGAAAAATTGAAGGGTTTGGATGAGGAGAGAAGAAGGGTTTTTAGGGTTTCTGTGTTTGGGTATAAATAGAGGGTTTTAGGTTAGAAACGGGGGGGGGGTCTTTTGTTTTTGAGGCTGGGTGTTGAGAACGGCAGTAGAGAGGAGAGGGCGGTAGAGAGAGAGAAGTTCAAAAAATGGAGATCTGGTTTTGAGAGGGAGAAGAAAAATGAAAAATTGAAAGGAAAAGATCTGGGCTGGAGGTGGATCTCTTGGTCTGAGTTTGGGGTGTTGCTTGAGAACAGCGGGAGGATCACTGAGCTGAGCAAGATTCTGCATTTTTTGGGTTTTCATCTTAGGTATTTTCCTGCAACAGAGGAGTCTTTTTTGGGGAGGCAGTGAGGGGAATGATCTGGCTTGATCTCGTGGGTGGGATCCGCCAGATCGGACTCCGATCTGTTACCCAAAAAGCTCCGCCGTGTTTGCTTCTTTTGTCTTTCTGTTTCCGTGACATGCTTTTGTGATGTTTACGTTTGTATATGTTTATTGAAAATCAATGAAAGATAAAAAAAATGTTCAGTTCGTTTTGTGTGATGATTGTGTTTTCTCTTTTTTTTGGTTGATGAATGTTTTATGTTATTTTATTTTTATTTGGAATGAATGTGTTCTTCTAAAAAAAAAAAAGCAGAAAGGAGGTGAATCAGGCTTTTTCTGTATATTGTTTGATCTGTTTTGTTCGTTTTGAGTTAACGGATCGTGTTTTCGGGTGTGTTTTCGGGTTGGGTCAGCCCGACCCAATTCAATAAAAAAAACTAAAAAGGTTAAAAGTAAAAAAAATGTTATTAATAATATAAAATTATTAATTAATTAAAAAGTTAGTTTAATTTATAATTAACAAAATTAATTAATCTTAATTAAAATAAATTAATCATATTTATTGAGTTTGATTTGAGATGATTAAATTTATTTAGTTATCTCAGTCCATGATTAGTAAATGTGATTAATTAATTTTAATTAATCTTAATTAATATTAAGTTAATTATTTAATTAAGTTAATTATTTTGATTAATTAATTTTAATTTTCAATTAACTTCAATCTTGGTCAAAGTCAAAGTTTTTTTTTATTTTATCTCAATTTCACCCGCAAGTTTTATAATTAAGCAATTCAGTCCATGGGTTTCAACTCTTTTCAAATTAGTCCTTTATGTTTTGAATTTAGTCAAGTCAGTCCATTTAATTTTCATGTGTGTTTATTGTGCATGCATGTTCTTGATTTTGTCCATTTTAGTTCAAAAATTTTAAAAATGTTTCAATTTGGTTTATCCTTTTTTCAGGCTTTCTTATTAAGACTCAAACATAAATATAATAAATGAGTTGAATCAAAACCCTGATTTTAAAGTATGCAACCATGTTTAAACGGAGGATTGTGAGGTGCGCGTATGCCTTTCCTCACTCCTAAACCGAACCCCCGAATCCCGATCTCTGCGCAGACCCATTTTAGGTGACTTGTCCCACCTTATAATTTGGATGAGTGGCGACTCCATTTTCTTTTATATTTTCACCTGATCCCATTTTTAAGTGGTCGTCAACAGATTGGCGACTCCATTGGGGCAAGAACCTAGAATCTCTGGTTTCCATATTCTGGGTTCACATGGGTCGAGCTAATACTTTAACCTTGGGGAATTTTTAACCTTTGATTTTTTTTGTGTTTGTTGAGTCTTTGTGGGTCTTTGTTATTTATTGTATGTGCTTGTCGTGTGTTGCTTGTTGTTTGTTTTGCCTTTGAGTAGTTATCTTGCTACATCTTGACATGCATCATACCTTGCTAACATGTCCATGCATCATACCTTGCTAACATGTCCATGCATCATACCTTGCTAACATGTCCATGCATCATACCTTGCTAACATGTCCATGCATCATATCATCTCACATGCTCATCCATCATCGATATAACATGCTTATTCATCATGCATCATGCCTATATGCCTATTTGCTTTTGTGTGGATATACTCACCTTTTGCACTTGGCTATGGAGTACTCAGTGAGTCTCTTCCCTCTTGTGCGATTATTTACATCTTTTTGCATGCTAAGTGTTGGTTGCTTTGTGTTACTAACCTTTTGCATTTGGCATGGGAGTACTAGGTGAGTCCCTTCCTGCTGTGTAAGTAGGTTTGTTTGTGGGTGATATATTTGGTAAGTGTTTTATATGCTTTATTCGATTGTTGTGGGATATATGTTGCTATTTTTGTGGTTGCTACTGTGCAGGTTATTGGAGTGTCATGCCCCTTGCACACACTCACTCTCATGTTGCATTAGGTACGTGTCGGAGGTGAACCTGACCTCTAGTCTGGAATCCTTACGAATCTGGCTTGAAAGAGCAATTCTTCCCGCTTTGAGGAGTAAGATCGGTTCTCGTTAGGTTGTTTCCATTGGTTAATACGACACTTGATGATGTAATATCGTCCTGTGTATTAGCTTTTGGAAATATCTCCCGTTGATTCCGAAAGGATAAATGGTTGAGAAAGCCTAATGCCCTTTAGGAAAACATGTATTGACCTTAGAGAGATACCAACCCTAAGACATGTTTCCCTTAGCATCCCACCCGTGAGGTTAGGAATCTCGTGTCTAAGACACAAAAGGGGGCATTTTACTTCACTTTGTCTTTGCATATGATAGGTTTTCATTTACATTCGAGGTATGATTAGTTATTCATCTTTTGCATTTAAACATCATTCTTGAGGTTAGGTACATTCCATGCACTTTGTATCTTCATTTTCAACCCCATGCAAAAAAAAAAAAAAAAAATTTTCATGATTGTTTCACATGCCATATATCCATCCTACTCATTTCACATTAAATCTTCCATATGTCTTGCAAATTTCATGTCATATGTCCATTGCATTGCATTTTCCAT